AGCGTGCCAATGAAATCACGAGGAAGGAAAAGAGAGAGAGAGTCACATTCCGAAAGAATTATATTTATTGCCGCATAAATCGCTCACAACGATTGTGTCGTCGTGTTTACCTCATTAAATATAATTTAAAAACCGCGATTCTCTCTTTTCCTTTCTAGGCCAATTCGTACTTTTTGATAGGGGAATATAAAGCGTGATTATTTATTCTTTTGTAGACCTCATAATATACACATAATAAAGCGAAAGTTGCGTTTCTTTTAAAATTATAAAATATTATTATATATTTTGCTCTAATAAGAAATTTTAAAGAAACCGATAATTATTATAACATTAAATAACAAATATTTAAATTAATTTACCACAAAGTATTACGAAGACAAGTAGAAAAAATTCTGACAAATATTCTTGTTGGCAATTTTTCTGTGATTACGAGTGAGAAATATTAATTAACAGGGGCGACAAATTTTACCTGAGAATATTTATAAATAAATCGAGTTTTGCACAGAGAAACGCAAGGATAGATTGCGGTCATAACTTTGTCTCAATCTCATTACTGTGGCAAATATAGTGAGAGAAATAACACAGAAAGAACCTTTTTTATCTAACCTGAGAGTTATAATGGAACCTTTCTCTCTCTTTCTCTTTTCTGTTTGTGTTGAGTAAAACAATAAGCTTTTCAATCTCAATTCTCATTAATACTGTTCGTTCGCTTTGTTGTTTTACGTTTCTCTATATAGCAGTATATATGAAATATTAGAAATATTGTGCATTTTACTGTTCTACAAATTCTGTCTGATAATTTTTTAATTCGCAACTAATTAACACTTTATTAACATAAAGTCTACTTGAAGGAGCAAGCTTTTTTACCAATTTGCAATTATAATTTAATTCTCTACATCTTTCTACGATATTTCTGCGTAAAAAGAATGCATTTAAATAATGTATTTTTGCGTATTTCTGTTAGTGATTGAAGAATTTTCTTGCGTTTATTTACTAGGGTGATATTTGAATACATTTTACGACGTTTTAATTTTTCTGAAATATACTCCCAACAAGAAAGTTATGTAAACAGAAAAGGAAATAAGATTTCTTTATACTTTGTATACCTTCGTTTTTAGCTTCAAAGGATGAACAGATTTTCGCGAAATTTTCCCTCGTATATTTGCGTTTTCATGAACGAATCTCACGAATCGAGAGAGAGAAACTCGAATTTATTCTGCTGCATTTAATCTGAAAACGGTTTAACAATATAACTATATGAAAATCAGCTATGTATGAACCACAATAACGACAATCAACGGTCGTCGAATACACGGAATCTACCATAATTAACTATGCTTGGTAAATATACATATTTGTCTTGATAAAACAACGGTAGCGGAATAGATGTCCCGAAACGAGCTCATCGAATTTTAACTGTATCTGAGAGAAGCTTCACGGTTGATTGATCGATATCTTTCACACGAGAAGGAAAGCCGATCCTTCCGAACTCGATCCTTAACGATTGGCAGCGTACCGTTAGCATCGGGAAAATTTATGGCCGCCAAGAGGATGCTAACTCCACGCGATGCATTTAGCACTTTAATATCCAGCGTGAGAAACACTACGAATAAAGACGTAAATCGAATCGGTTATGTCGTGAAAATTCTCTCTTCCTGCGAGTGAGCGCATTTATTTGTAGCTCGATCTAGTTTTATCCCATTTATAATATCTATATCTATAATGTTTTTATAGTTTTGTATAGAACGTACACAAAATTCATACATCCTGTTTGTGACGTATATTAATTGAATGTAAATTTAATTCATCCTAATGTAAATTTTAATTCTAACTTCAATTTTTGGATTTTTCTCGTTAATTTCTTTCGATTAATAAAAAGTTTTAAGATACGTGGTTTGACAAAGCTTTATAGCATCTGTATAGCATATGTATGTTTCAACATGTACAGAATGTATAACCTACGCATTAATACATTTTTACAATGTAAACAAATTGAATGGATATAAATTTAATTCATCCTAGTTGTAAATTTTACTTCTGGCTTTGATGTTTCTGATTGTCCTTATTCTTCAATTTAAAAGTTTCAAGGTACACACGTTTCAATAAGCTTTATAGGAATCCAATAACAAAAAGTATCACTCAATGTGAGAGAGGATAAATGAATACCTGTTATTTTCGTAATATAAATTTTAACAACGTTAAAGTTTCCGCGCCAAACATTTACGACGAATTGCGATTTCACCTCGTTAGGAGTTTATTGAGTACCGTTCATTAAAATAGCGAACTCAATTTTGCAAAATTTCACTCTTCGTCTGTCTCTGTTCGTGCTGATGGCCAAACCAGAGAGGTGGGCGTCTGACGCGTGGGCGATATTTGAAATCACGAACTTCCTTTAGCGTGCAAATATCAAACGCCCACACTATTGTTCGCTATGCAGCGACGGGGATGCACTGGCAATGACGCAAGAGGGGATATAATGCACGCGACACAAACACAGCAAAGGAAAGAGAAAAAAGGGGATTAATGGTAGGGGTATAATCGACACAGCTTGGCATAGCATTTGCGGATGCGAACGGTCGCTTTTTAATCATTTCGTAAGTACAAAGGCGGACGTGGCCGACGAGAGATGAAAAGCGGGTAGGTGCGAGAACCTGCCGCACGTACCGCACCACAATCTGATCGATACCACAAATATTTACATGTACAATGGAATCGCATTATTCCGATTGTATTACCTTAAGCTGCGACATTTGCCGATGACTTTAATTAGCAACAAATATCCGCGCGATAATGAGAATGCGAAACGACATTTTTTTCGAGTAATCAGATGTGCACTGTTAAATTTTATAAGGTCAAATTAACTTAATGTGAGTCGCCATTGCTCTTACGCAATAATATTATTTTTTACTAAAACAATGGTTATATTTGACATTATACAGTATCGATTTAACATTATATAGTGTCAAATTTAATTATCATTTTAGTTAAAAATAACAATATATTTAGTAGGAGCAGTGGCGACTCACATTAAGATAATTTGATCCTATAAAATTTAACAGTGTGTACAACTGCATTAGATTATCAACGCAATCGTGCGAAATGTTTCTTTGAGTAACTACGGCATTCTGGTAAATGTCGTTCAAAAACTGGATACAAAGTATCTCTTCATAAATGCCATCTAAAACACACATGCGCGATTAAATTATACGCATATGCGCGCTTACGTATTGTGTACACATATATATACAATATAATTTATGCTTCTATAAATATAAATTTTTTTATTAATTAAATTAAATAATATCTCGGTACATATATCTCCGCGGTACTATAAATGAATTTGTCTTTTTGATTTTTACAATTTGATTGAATTTAATTCGCAATTTACATAAAATATATTTTTTAAATTAAAATGTATGTAATGAGTTGCTTGTTGGCTGACAAACGAGCCATTGAGATTAATGAGCACGTTTTTAGCGCACCATCAATTCATTTTCACTTGAAACTATATTCAAGTAACTACGAAGTGAAGTGTCTGCGAAGAAAGGAAGAGAAAGAGAGATAGAATTTATGAAGCCGGGCGCAGAATTTCCCTTCGTTTCTTCCCAAGATCAATCGGGACAACTGGATATTCATGAGCTTTGAAGAATGCACTGAAATTCCCATTGCTATTCCCTGGAAATTACTATGTAAATTTATGACGAGGGGAACTGTGTGTGATTGATGTCGGTATGGAATATTAAATCACACTAACAATTGCAACTCGATTATCGCGGATATTGATAACGAATCTTTTCATAAACAATTGATAACACGGTCCATATACTAATTATTCGTTTTTATCCTATAAATATTTAATCTTTAATTTGTCGCGCGAAAATACATCGTTAAATAAAATAATTTGGAATCGCCGCAATTCCATGTGACCAATTAAAGGGGTTAAAGAAAAATAATTTATATTTTTTAAATAATTTTATTTTATTAACTATTTTAAATCAATTCAAGGAATCAAAATTAACCGAAAATTTCAATCCTTTGTTACAAATTCTAATATGCTTACCACTGATAAAATAATAGAATATAATTTCACAGAGAAATTTAAAATCAGTCTTTTTTTAATTTACGATTTTGGGATATTTATTTCATGCCCGGCTATACATATATTTAAGTTTCTGGGTGTAAACAAAAATTTATATAAAATATCGTTGTATACGAATGGACTCATGTATATCTTGTTATTTTTGTATCTAAAAAATATTCAGAGAAAAAGTTTAACAGTTTGTTCACTGATAAGTAAAAATTGGAAAACTCATAAAAAATATGGGTTTTTATAAATTATATTCATATATTTGATTGTGTTTTCGCTAAAATATTTCTTGACGATACCATAGAATGTTTGTTATGCCGCGTAACAACATTGACATAGAAAATTTTTGCGCACGCTATGATTCAAAAGCTTATTCTATATTTTTATATGTAAAAATATATATTTGGAAATCATGTAAATTCTAAATCATAGTAGCATCACGATTAATTGCTTTCAATGATAAATCAGAAGATATGCAAAACATTAAATTGCAAATAATTTTTTAAGTATTGAACAATAATTACTAAGTTAAATTGCCTAGAAATAATTTTGATATATTTAATTAAATATATTATATTTTAAATTACATTTTTTACTTCAATTTAATTTATTTCAAATTGAAGAGAGAAAAATTATTTCCAGAAATGATTAAGTTTATAGTGGAAGTTCAATAAAGAAATTATTTTCTGTTATTAAATTAATAACTGATCTAATATTTCCTTTGTAAATCTATTAATTACCGCAATCACGTGAATTTTTATAAGCTTTCGTTAAATCAAGCTTTGAACAAACTGAACACATTAGAAATAAATACATGTTTGGTAGAAAGAGAAAATTTAAGAAATTAATGTCGAACAGCATCTATAGATATCTAAAAGAACAATTTATTTAAAAAAAATAATTACATGTCCTGGTATTAACTATTTTAAATCAATTCTAGATAAAGGAGTCTCTCTAAGTTGATCAAAAATTTCAATCCTCATCATTATAAAGTTTGATGTTCTTTTACTGATATCCATAATGTCTCTGATAGGCAAATCGATTGTACCCTTCGTATTGTTGTAACATGTCAGATTTTCCCGGAAAATCGCGTGTATGTACATGCATATGTTACGGCTTTACATAGGAAAATTGAATCAGTGGCTCCACATGTCATCCAAGTTTGCAACACGCGCACAAATCTCTGTGAATCCCCATGTTGGGATCTCTTAGATTTTTCCTCTAAATTGCACTTGGCTCACATCTCCGGCAGATGGTGCCGTTTGTCCGCTTGGCGATCGTTACAAACGTCCGTAGGAGTCGGCGCGATGTAAATGCGCGAATTTCGAGCGCAGATCACGCTCTTTCCGAGACGCTCAGAACTGCAGGATCTGATTGATCCAATCGCGAAATTCCGAGATACGTGTGTAAACGCCCGGTTGATCAGACGCAGTGCAATCGATTCCCCAGCTGATGATTCCAGCAAGAATCCATCGCTTATCTCGCGCTCTTTGGATGACTATTGGACCGCCGCTGTCATCCTGATAAAGGAGGAAGGTTGCAAGTTACAATATTAAGAGATATATCTCTTTATAATACATGTAATTCTTATATATCATTGTGTTATAGTAAAAATATTTAAAAATATCTTTATAAAATTGAAACGTCTTATCAATAACTTTAAGATAATTCTTATACATAACTTTTGTCTTTTGAATTCTCACAGAAATCCAATTTAATACTGAAAATTACTGTACAATAGTGTTTTCATTATTAAAAATAAGTAATTAATAGTTACTTTCCAGTATTAAATTGTTGTAAGGAAACATAATAGTTACCTAAAAATTTATTATTATTGATATAAAAACTTGTAGCAATAATATTACAGAATATTATTGCTACAAAATTTTATATCAATAATAATTTATTTCTAAGCAACTATAATGTGCGAAAGGTATCTGTAAGTTATCTTCTGTAAGAAAGGTATATCAAGATATTTTAATTTTCTAAAGATTTTCTGAAACATTTTTGTTGTGATATAGTCATATATGATTGTCAAAATAAAGTGTATTATCGAAAGATGTAAATTATACGGACAATACTTTTTAATTGCTACTTTCAATCTCAAAAATCTCGATGAAAACTTGAAATGGTACGGCGACTTTTTTCATTTCTATAAAATCGCCAAAACAACTGACCTCGCAGGAGTCGCATCCGCCGTTCCTCCAACCGGCGCAGATAAATATATGTGGAATATGCTCAATGTAACCCGCGTTTTTATACATCGCTTCACATACGGTATTATTGATAATTGGTACTGCAACCTCCTGTAACACGGTCGGCAATGGTCCCTCTGCAAAAGTAGACAATTATATTTTTAGGTATCTACGCGATGAGTGATAATAATTTTACTTGTATAGTTTAATATAAAATATTTCATCTAAAACAGTTGACAATTTTTTTCTAATGAACACGTATCAAATATTAACACTCCGTTTGCAATTTGGATTTTTTTTGGCACAAGCAAAATTTTACCTTCAAATTTCTCAGAAATAAAGGAGAGCAGAGTCTGATTTCTCCTCTTAAAATATCTTGTTAAAAAATTATTTGGTAATATAATAGAGATATTAAAAACTAATCTTAATTTTTTTTATATATTTTGAAAGTCGAAAACGGCGAATTATGATCGCAGATGGAGGGTAATTAATATGAGGATATAAATTCCAAGTTGTATTGTTGCTTCACTTAATTAATTATGACAATGCATTTTAATACCGTCGTAAAGTTTCCCCAGCTAGTAACATAGGCGGTACGCTCAATACAGGTTTCATCGTCGTCGGGCAGGCAGATCGGTAAAACATTTGGTTGGAATGGCAGAAGAGGTTCATAGAATCGCAATAGATCAAGATCGTACTCGAAAGTATACGCGTCGAATTTTGGATGGCTCGCCACAATTTGCACTTTTCTCTCCTGATATCCATATGGCTTATCTTCATTCGCCAAATCGTGCTCGCCGCGTATGTTAAGTTAGCACCCCAATATTGAACTTCCATAGTTTAGAGTTCCCATTTCCATGTCTGTGAAGCTGCACCCCCTCCTCATCGAAAATCAAGTTCGGAATAGGTCAAAAATTTAGCGCTAATTATGCACTACACAATAGAGCCAAAAATTTAAAATATAGCGTCAATTCGAATATAGAGCGTTAATTCCAATATTAGAGCGCGCCGCACACTAAAGTAAATTACCTGATCGTCAAATAATTAGGAACCTCGATTGATTATGGTATCAAAATAATCCTTAGACATTCTAGTTTCGAAATATTGTGCACACTGAATTTTGCGCTCACTCTTAAGTCAGTCAAAATAATCGAAACGTCGCGGAAGACCGCGCGCCGCGCCCTTAAGGATTATTTTGATACCATGATCAATCGAGTGCGTAATTACCCGAGTAGAAATTGAACCTCATTTCTAGCTAACGGTTAGCTAGAAAAGTTGTGTCTTAGATAACTGTTGTCTGGTATTTCTGGCTAGTTACTAGCTAGATATGTAACGCTCACTTCTCCTAGGAGCTGTACAAAAAAAATTAGACAGTAGCTAGACAAAATGTTTAGATAACTGCTGTCTAGTATTTCTGGCTAGTTACTAGCTAGATATGTAACGCTCATTTCTCCTAGGAGTTGTACAA